TAAGAGAAGGGCAGTGATGATAACAAAATAAGTGAAGCAAAAGATCAATAATTGTATAGCAGAAAGGCATGATGGATAGCCCAAGGTTACCCATCAGAATTGCTACAGTGTCAATAGCAAGTAACGAAGTGTGTTCCCAAGTTATATATGGAGTTCTTAGTGCATAAAGAAAATATATGTGAAATGAGCAATGGGGGTTTATGAGGATCTTCCTAGAGAAGGATTTTGAAGATTTAGAAAACATTTAAGATGCTTAAAAAGCTTATACAGAAGATTCCCTCCCTCCCTCCCTCCCTCTCCCCCTCTCTTCTCTCTGGTCTGTTGGGATATAAGGGAAACATGTGAAGAGCCACCCCTCCCTTCCTCTTGATTTTTTTTTTTTCTGTTGGGATATAAGAGAAACATGTCAAGAGCCACTATTCAATAACATTTGCCCCCTTGCAAAGGATGTGTAATTTAATAAGAATTACATCATAACACGAATTCCGCTTAGCATGTATTTTCTAATTACTATCTTTCTTACAAAAACCACAAAACTAACGACCGAACAACTTGCATGCTGCATATGTTATTGAATGACCTGTCTCTTACTAATTTCTGGTTACTGTTATTTCTCAAAAAGCAAAAGAAAAAAGTTACTGTACTATTGCTAAATGAAAATTCTCTATGCTTTAGCCCCAAAAATTGCAACTGGTAAATGGTGCTCGTACGTTTAGCAAATGCTTTCTCTGCAAGAGGTGATCACTAAAGAATAAGAATCAATCTACATCTTTGGAGGGAATGGAGGTTATATGATTTAAACCACTTAAAACACATGCTTATAGAGTTGAAATATGACAGTATCATTCATGTGAAAGTTCAGAAATGGGTAGATCGTAAAACCACCACCAACCTCTAAGATTGCTCACCTGAATTGTGATGGGACATCAATGACCAAACTAATGTCATCTTAATAACTATTAATAGAAGTATTTTGCTACCTATATTATCTAATACAACCGAAACTCTACGGAGATAAACTTCAAACTTTAGGTAGGTAGAATAGTAGTGATATTAGCTTTCAAGGGAGACAGTCCATAGCAGTGACAGGGATACCTCTACATACATGAAATGTAACAAGAACAAGATCCATAATAAAGCAAGAAACCCATCAACTTACATGGACACCAGCAGTACCACATAATTACAAACATAAAAAAAACACTAATAGAACTGACCCTCTTAACCGACATAATTTATATTTGCGGCTAATTCGACAAGCAAAGGATAGATAACTTACTGGCTTTCCTCAGTTTCTTCTGACTCTTCTGCTTTACCATCACTTTTTGTTGAATCTCCATCAGGTGTGGTTAAAAGCTCTTTTGCTTCTCTTAGAGCCTTCAGCCTCTCACGGCGTTCACCAGCAGCTTGTTCTATTGACTTATCTTCAACATCAGCAACCTCTCTGCATGAAATAAATCCAAATCAAAAATTTTCCTCAAAGAATACTGTAAGCAATCATCAACTTGATGTTAAAAAAAATTCAAACACCCAGACCTGTTCGATAATCACGTAACACAAATTTTAAGGGTCAATTGGATACGAAGAGAGGAAGTCCGGAAAAAATGGCGACTGTAATTTACTTGTATAATAGTAATACTATCAACAATTCTAATATCATTTGTTTACACCAATGCCTTTCTACATAAGTGAAAATCCAAATTCCAAATTAACCAACAGCGCTCATATATAAAACTTTGACTTCTTCGTGTATTCCTTATTTCCATTTTCCATAGTTTTCAAAAGCCGTCCAGGCGGCCTAACCGGTACTAAGGCCGGCGGCCTAGGTCTTGGAAGCACCTACGGGGGCATGGGTTGTTATGCGAACTGCAAAGCTTAGGCCGTGGTCTAATTTCATCCGTTACCTCCACCGGGTCCTCCAACCTCCTGGCCACCTCCACCAACTCCAAACACTTCCACCACCTCCAACCTTCAGCAAAATCTTCTCCACCTCTAGTTAAAAAAAAAAGAAAAAAAATCTGCCTAGGCGGGCGCCTTGGCGCCTAGCACTTTCTGTGATATTGTCTATTTCATTACTTTTAAGACAGCACCGATAATCCTATACTCGTATCAAGTCTCAAACAGTATTCTGAATGAGAGATTGGTTCTCCAAACTCCAAAACAGGATTAGATTTTCCTTTGGACTTGAGCATAAAAGTCATGTCAACTTTTGAAACAATGAAATAGAAGCATATAGCAAATTAAAAAAAAAGAAAAAAAGAAAAAAAAACTATACCCCTCGTCAACAGAAAGTCACTCATACACATTGGTAACGTTTGTAGAATGCTTTCTGATAATTGATCATTTTACTTTTCTGTCCAATATTGGTTGCCCTAAAATTTTACAGTTTTTATATTTTAAAGATCCAATTGTCTTCGTTTTCTACATTCGATCTCTTCAAATTTCTCAGAATTCTTGAAAGTTGCATAGAGTTAACAATAAGTTCAACGACTACGTGAAATTATGAGTAGTACTCAAAATTTTAGTAATAGGAGAATATTTTTCCAGAAAATTATCGAGCATACTCACTGGTTTCCGTTGGGAGTGGGCGCGTCATCGGGCATGGAGGAGAGTTCTTGAGCAGCTCGAAGAGCCCTCAGCCTCTCGCGGCGATCGTTGGCCGCTCGCTCGATCGATTCCTCTTCAGCTCCCATTGATTTCACCGCACGAATCGACAAAGGGATTGAAACCCTAAATCGAGAATCGACAGAAGAGGGGGAATTGGGGGCTAGGGTTTTACAAATAAAAAATAACGGTTCGTACCCGGATCCGAATAATAAGTAGAGCCGTTAACGGGCTTGGCTAAGGCCCGATACCAACTCATATAGGCCAATAGTTTGTAGATTTCTCTTGTTGGAACCTATAACATCTTTGGGGTTTTTAACATCGTTGGGGTTTTTATATTTGGGCCCAATGCATTACCTTGATTTATTTATAAAAACAATGCCAACTCGTTTCAACTGTACTTATAAATCCATAGAATTATGTGTATTTGTCTCTAGACCCAAAAACACTGATACATCTAATATGCATACATCATATACAAAAATAAATTATAAACCCTAAATTACCCCCCCCCCCCTCTTCTTCCTCCTACTCTCTGTTAACTTAGGGGGTGTTTGGCAATCTGAAAGTGAATTTAAAATATGTAGGTTACTTTTTTTGCAAATAACTTTTACATCCATGTCAGCACGCAAGTGAAATACATTGTTTGTTTGAAAAATTAAATTATTATCGAAAGTGCAATATGAAGATGATGCGGCAAAATAAGATTAATTAGAAAGTATAATTAAAATCATTTAATTAAATCAGTTACTTTTTTGTTACTTTCATGTGACTTCACCACTTTTTTAGGGGAAGTCAAAAATACATTAAATCATATGTGGTAAATTTCTTATATCTCACTTTCATAACCACTTACATGAAAACAAACACCTTAATTGTTAAATAAAAGTAACTTTCTCACTTTCATATTTTACTTGCATGCAAACAAACACCCCCTTATTTCATTAATGAGGTAGCATAAACTGCCTCATAAAATAATATACGCGTCTAAAATGACAAGAATGTGAAAATTGTGGTGGAATACCACATGTTCTTTTTAGAAAATTATAGCTACTTTTTTCATGAACCAGCTATTATAAACTTCTCCAAAATCAGTTACTACGCTATCATGATCCTTTTTCTCTATAGCTATAGGAATCATAAGCTTTTAGTTACAATTTACTGTTAACCATGTAAAAAATGTTCACGATGTGTTTGCATTTCAAGTTCATAAATAAAATCATAATCGGCAACAATTTACTGTTAACCATGTAAAAATGTAAAAGCTCATGATTGGGTTTTGCTAACTATTACCTAGATGTCTCGTTTGGTACGTGGGAATGAGTGGGAATGGAATGCAATTCCAACTCATTATTCATGCATAACAAACACGATGTATTTTTAGATGCTAGAATTACTATTCTCACTTCTTATCAATTCCTACTTTATGTGGGGATTGTCATTCCTAACCATTTGACAAGGAATTGATATTTTCACTTAAGTGGGAATAAAAATAATTAAATAATTGCCTTTCCCTTTTGAAGATGAAGTCTTGGCTAATAAGGCTTCTTCAATTTTTTCACCATTTTCTTCATTCCTCATTGCTCTCCTTTGGTCTACGGCACTGAGGGCATTGACTAAATCCACTAGAGTTATTTTGGATAGGTCTTTGGAATTTTCAAGTGAGGAAATTTTGGACTCATACCTTTCGGGAACAGTGACTAAAATTTTATCAACCACTCTTTCATTTGAAAATGTTTCACCAAGCAATCTAATTTGATTGACAATAGCCATAAGCTTACCGACATACACTTTGATGGTCTCACCTTTCTTCATCTTTTGCATCTCAAATTCCCTTTTGAGATTAAGAACTTGCATCAATTTTGTTTGATCGTTGCCTTCGAATTCTTCCTTTAGCATCTCCCACGCCTCCTTAGGTGATTCACAAGTCATTATACTTGTGAAGATTCCGTCCGACATAGCCGAATGAATACAGGAGAGGGCTTTTGGCTTCTTTGCTTTTTCTTCATCGTGCGTCTTGATTTGTTTTAGGGTTGGATTTTGTGGAAGAGGGGTTGGCTCATAGTCACTCTCAACAACTTCCCATAAACTCAAAGCTTTCAAATGAGATTTCATCTTGATAGCCCAAGATTGATAATTGTCTCCATTGAGGATGGGGTATGGAAACGAAAAATTGTTGGATGCCATTAAAAAACAAAGGTTGATCACTCTATTTTTTTAAATCCTCACAAACCCAAGAAAACTGGAGCTCTGATACCATGTTGGGAATTAGAGAGGAGATGAGGAGATAATATTTTTCTATATTATTCATCAACTAAAAGTGCCTTTATATAGGCTTACAAAACAACTTAATCACCATAAAAATCTAAACTAATTTCAGATTTATTAGTCACTACTCCACTAACAAAATAACAACTAAAGACAAAGTCAACTTTGAATCATTCTTCAACAAGCCCTCTTCAAACTTTTCTCCCATCGCAGACTCTTCACTTATGGGCTTCTTCTCTCTCAACTTAGAGACAAATGAGTAGAACCCATTGCTCAAGGGGGAAGAGCAGCTCACCTTAGTTCTTTAGGACATGATTTCTCTGGTAACAAAGTAATGGCTTTATAGCCTAATTTAGTTTCATGCTCGTTATGTGTTTGACGAAATGCCCATTTAGGATTTTTCTATGTTGGCTTGCTTGATAGTTGATTAGCTTTGTTTGGTTCATGCCCGCTATGTGTTTCATGAAATGCCTAAAGTAGGGTTTTTTTGTTTGTTTGCTTCTTTATTGATTACCTTAATTTAGTTTCTTGCTTGTTACATGTTTGGTGAAATGCCCAATTGGGATTTTTTTTTGGGTTTGTTTGTTTGCTTGATTAGCTTGATTTTTGTTTCACATTTGGAATTTGTTTGATGAAATGCCCATTTGGATAATTTGTTTGTAGTTGGAGGATATGAAGTTAGATGCCTCGTCAGAGGCGGCGACAGTGGAGCTTGTAGTGAAAGGGGTTATCGGGAAGATGGTTGATGAGATAGAGTATGGGCTCATGATGGCGATGGATTACATGTTATTCATTTTGGACATTATGGTAGAAGCAAATTTAAATAGTTTGAGAGGAATTCAAAGTTAGTAAGGTTCAATTTAGTATTTCTCCTTTTAAATATGCAATGCTAAGGATGGAAAACGATATTGATGTAATCCCTAGTAAATTGTATCACACTTCCACTTTTTAAAACTCTGTCCAATCCTATTAGTATAATCTTATCAACATACTTCAACTAGATAGTGCTTTTGTGGAAGGTTTTTCAATCAATGCATTTTTTTTTTATAAGCTTAGCTTGTTTTACATTCCTTGATATATTACTAATGTTGGATTATGTTTTATTGTGTTTGCAGTGAAGATATGAAAGTTAGACTTTCATCAAAATTGGTCTACTTTTGAAGCCTAATTCACGACCGTATTTATTCCACTACATTGCAAGTTCTGTGCATGTTGCATATGGACATGATAAGTATGTGTTGTGTATGCGATGTTATTTATGGAGATGAATGAAAGTGTAACATGTTATTTTAGAAGTGTAGCCAGAAATTTTTAAAGTACAGTAGATTATTTTCATTGACAATAAGCTTTAGCGGTCTTGATTGTATTTTGTGTATACAATAAATTTGTATATGACGTGCATTTAATGTTGATTTTTTGCACGTTGCTCATGGATATGATGAGTATGTATTCTTATGGAGGTGAATGCAACGTAATATTATATAATGTGTAGTTTGTATGTATAGCAGGTTGTAAGATATTTTGAAAGTATAGCATATTATTCTGAAAGTATAGCACGTTATTCTAAAAATATAGTATATTACTATATAAGTATAGCAGATTATTTCAAAAGTATAGCATGTTATTCTAAAAATATAGTATGTTACTATGAAAGTATAACAAGTTCTTCTGAAAGTATAGCATGTTATTTTGAAAGTATATCATCATATTCTGAAAGTATAGCGTGTTATATTAAAAGTATAGTGTGTTATCCTAGAAGTATAACAAACTATACTTTTAGGATAATAAGCTATATGTTAATGTCAGTAATCTAACTAAGGGTTAAGTGTGGATTGTTTAAAGTATTGGGATCCCCAATCTTCTTTAAAAAACTGGTCTTCGGGCAGCGAATCTAGTCCTACACATGAACAATGCATGAGAGGGTCGGAGTTAGGATCTCCTGTGATTCCTCCGACAATTAAGTTAGTGTTCAATTTGAGTGGAGAAGAAGAGAGAGTGTGCAGTGTTTTTAGCAAGAAATTGCATACCCTAAGCAGTAGACAACATCTTTCCTTGATAGCAGATCCAAAGAACAAATGCATAACTACGGCTGAGTCCAAGTAGGAGGCTCAATTGGCAGTCACTTTATAGGTGCCAGCTGCAGAGTGGTATGAGTCACCTAGGCATTTTAAAGTGATGGTGATAAGGTATGCGTGGAGCTGACGAGGTCCAAAGAGCCATAAGACTTTTGAGGCTGGAGCAATGATGATTCTGATCATGTATTCAATGTGATGGCAATCGACTATCGGCAGCAGGCTCGAGGATAAACTGTAAAACCCCGTATTTTTGTTAGAAGTATATGTGAATTATTGGTGATAGATAATTCTATTGTGGTAAATGACTTGAGGTCATAGATATACTTGATAACAAGTTATCAGATATGTATGAGTGTATTTTTATAGAGTTTTGTGTATTGGTTTTGGCAAATTAACAAAACATGCACGAATCTAAAAAACGTCGGCTTAGTCGACTCATGAGTCGACCTATGAGTCGACTTACGAGCAGATTTCCAGATTTTTCAGTTGCGGGTTTGAGTGAGTTTTCTTTAGGGTTTTAACCGTATTATATATATTTTCTTTTACCCGAAACTAACCTCAAACCCATCAGAATCCTAGAGAAACCCAGCCACTCTCTCTCCTCAAACCCTAGTTCGTTTTTGGTGATTTTTGGGGGATTTTCGGAGGATTTCAACGGGTTTTGGCGAGGTGCAGCCAAGGGAATCATCCTCTCTCGGATTCAAAAGTTGTTCTAGCATACCAGAGGCGAGCAACATCTCGCCTAACCCTCACCCAGCGTTTGTATAGTTTTCTTTGAGATTTATTTCGAATTCTTGAGCCTAAAACATATTTTTGTGCATAAAGATAAATGCTTTATATTATGAGTTGCAAGATCTACATTTTCAGTTTAATAAAAACTCACCAACGTTTTTGTAATGTAGATCCAGATCTGGAGTTAGTTTTAAACATGTGTTTCTTTGTGATTTATTTGTTTTTAAACGTTTTTAAACATGGATAAATATGTTTAGGGTTTTAATGTAAGTTATTACATGCAAATCTTTCGTTTCTGTTGATACACATGTGTTAGAATCGGAAATATTTTGTTGGACATGATGAAGAAGAACTTTAGATTTAAAATTTTCATATAAATCATCGTATGCAGAAAAACTGGGAATTTTCTGCTCAGTCGACTAATGAGTCGACTGATGAGTCGACCAATGAGTCGACTGACGGAAAAATTTACAGTTTTGTGTTTTGTTCTGGTCGACCAATGAGTCGACCAATCCCAGTCGACTCATGAATCGACTAATGAAGAATTTTTCAGTTTCCTCGGTTTGGATCTGTTTGGGTTGTTTCAGTTTAACTGAAACTGTTTATGCTTGTTTATTATTATTGCATGCTTTAATATGAACGAGGAGTCGCCTCGAATAACGGGTATTAGAAATTATTGTTTAACCTGTATCTTTACATGTGAGATGACATGCGGACACGAGTTTAGGTTTGCACACTGAGACACGTGAGAAATTAGGGTATATGCATCTGTTCATATATTTCATCTAGTCCATGTGTTGGGCAATTATGATGTGTAGTCCATGTGTTGGACATTTATCACATTCAGTCCATGTGTTGGACAATTTTCATATGCAGTCCATGTGTTGGACATCCACTACATCTAGTTTTAGTCCATGTGTTGGACATCAGTTTAGACCTTGAGATTGACACTGATACTTGCATAGGCTGAGTTACGATATGACACCGGATTTAAGTTCTGAGATGAGTTTGTCTTCTTTTATTATTGTTCCAGTATTAGATTTCGGGTTTGGTATTTACGGATTTACAGTTTGAGATACAAGGTATATACATGAGGGTTTCCTTGTTTGGATTATTTCGCTCGACGTACATATACTCGTGTTGTAATTTTCTAAGTACTAAAACCCTCTTATCATTAGGGGTCTACAATTTGAGCTACAAGGTATATACATGAGGGTTTCCTTGTTTGGATTATTTCGCTCGACGTACTTATTATGATGTTGCTCGCTAGCGCTTTGACGCTCGTTGTCCCTCCCCCTTTTAGGTAACGAGCCAGGAGCCTGGAGAGTCACAGGTTGATGGCGATGCATTTTAGCTTCAGCTATCTGTTTTAGTTATATTTTTCTTTTGAGCTCCACTGTAGACTTCTGTTTAGACATTTGAGGATTTTATTTCTAGAAGTTGTAAAGGTTGTGTGCCTTATTTCCTCTTATTCGGACATTTTATATTTGAGACTTGTTGAGAACTCCAGTTCATTTATTTCAGACATTGACTTGTACTTCAGTATGTTAGATGATGAAATATTAATTTGATCTCTATTATTTCATCAGTTGATTCTTGTATTATTTTTTACTTGCTTTTATACCTACACCTGTTATTGACTCTACTAGAGAGATAGTAATTATGATGGTGAAACATGTTATTATATGGTGTGGTGTATGACATGTTTAACATTCTTGGTTTCACCTTGGACTGCAGCCTTGTGTGAACCCAGGAGCGTCACAGTTGGTATCAGAGCTCTAGTTCCAGTATCCTTATGATCATCCTGTGTCGAGTCGTGGAGCTAGGATAGAGTTCCTTGGGATTCATGTATAGAGTCTGTAAGGATTCCCTAGTATGAGTGAGGATGATATATGCGTATATCTTAAAATTTAAGGATATTTTTTTTATGACAACTATTTTTGTGTAAATTTAAAGTATTTGTGTGAATACTAAATTGTTGTGAAAATCATATTGTGATATGCTATGTATGTGTATATGTCTATTTTGACTCATAAACTCTTATTTTCTTATGATGAGAGAGATGGCAGGACGTGGTAGACCTCGTACTCGGAGAGCTGGATAGGCAGAGTTGCAGCAGGCTCCACCTGAGCCACAGCAAGCTCAACCCGAGCCACAGCAGGCACCACCTGAGCCACAACAAGCTCCCCAGTACCTGATAGATCTTATGGCTCTCATAGTAGCTAGGATGGTAGCAATTGAGGAGCTTGTGGCGAATCATATCACGCCACCAACGCCACCACCACCACTAGCAGATCAGCCACAGGAGATACCAGCCGTTCCTATTAGCGAGATACCCCCAGAGACCGCACCTGCAGCTATTCCACCAGCAATTCCGGATAAAGCCACAGAGCAGGAGGCTTGGCTCCGTATGGTAGAGAGGTACCAGAAGATGAGGGCACCTGAGTTTCAGGAGACATCAGACCCTCTTGCAACCCATAAGTGGAAGTAGGATGTAAGTAACACCCTCGACATATATAATGTGGATTCGGTCCAGAAACAGAGATTGACATCCTACAGTCTGAGGGGAGAGGCCGGAAGATGGTATCGATTCCAGCTCACTCCAGAGCACCGGATGACCCTCACATGGGAGGACTTCGTCTACTTCTTTGACGGGCAATATATTTCTTCTGCAGCACGGACTGGGAAGGAGCTTGAATTGTCCTGGTTGACTCAGGAAGACATGTCAGAGGCAGACTTTGAGAGCAGATTTATGGAGTAGCTACACTTCATGGGTATGTGGCAGACAAGAGAACGATAGGCTCAAATGTTTCTAGCAGGGCTCCTCCCTAATCTTCGTCGATACCTCGTCTCGAGGAAGTTCTATTCAGTTCGAGAGGTAGCAGAGGCCGCCACCTCACGGGAGATTGAGACTGTCATGTTCTAGAAAGATAAGGAAGGGAAGACTAAGGCAGGACAGAACGGGGACAATGGTAAGAACAAGAGACCTTTTTTGGGACCTCAGCAGCAGCATCAGGACCCTCATAAGAAGGGACCCCAGCAGGATCATAGAACGCATCAACAGCGTAAGTTTTAGGGAGTTTGCTATAATTGTCGTAAGGTCGGACATAAGGCATCGGAGTGTCGCAGCGCACCAGTAGGAGCTCAGCAGGGCAAGGGCCCGAACCAACAATAGTAGAGAGTTCAGGACAGAGGTCAGGGTCAGCACATGAGGCTAGAGGCACCGCCAGCAGCTCAGAAGACTGAGGGACAGATTCGTGCAGTTCAGGAGGTTCCTCAGGGGAAGATAGTTCTGTACTCTCCAGCACTAGCAGCAGAGCAGACGTCAGCCACAGGCAGAGAATATGCGGTAGTATCACGTGATCATGGAGCTAGCGGAGCAGTGGTGGAGGGTATGTTCCTTGTGAATTCTTTTCCCGCCCGTATTCTCTTCGATTCGGGAGCTTCACATTCCTTCATTTTGTATGATTTTATGTCTAGACTCCAGCTTGTACCTCAGCCATTAGACACTCATTTATCAGTTTTCACCCCCTTTAGGTGAGATATCGCTTCTGGAGAGCGTTTGTAGGAGGTGTACTATCAG